TTTGCTGTGAAGTTTTTTAACATGTGGAAATATGACATTTAGTAACAGCCAAAAAGGAGGTTTACATTCCACAAGAAATAATTTTCCTTTGGTTAACTGCCTGAGAATTAACAAAATTTATGTACTCATACTAAGCAGAGATGAATTTTAAGAACCGTACATACTGTATGTGAAACAACAGATTTAGGTATTGCACCTTTTATGGGCAGGAGGATTCTAACAGACACCTCAGCCAAAAGGGTGACATCAATTATCACAATCACACAGCAGAGGTTCTGACAGATTGCAGACCAACACAGTCTCATGCTGGACCATTTAAAGCACCTTATAAAATTTACTATATGATATATATATATAAATTCAACTCCATAACTTTGTTGTTTTCAATCCAATTTTATTGAAATTTTATGATGTATTTAGAAGACAAACTTTCGTTTAATTTAAGGTTTCTCTTAGCAAATCAAATACAGAAATGAGACTGGTTGGAGGATTGTTTTAGCAAGGTGTTACATCTATCTTTTTACAGAGCTGGTATCACTCAGAAGCAATTGCAACTTTTTCTTACAATATCATAACTGTATCATTGGAACAATCATCGGTTAAACAGCACATGGTGATCTTTCAAATGAACACTGAAACTCCCATTTTTTGTGAATTTGTTGATATATAAGGCATCACTATAATCAAATTACTGAGAAATCCTGCTAAAACATAAAAGTTGGGATCCATAATTGCACATATTTGATTCTATCAGCAATAGGACAAAACTACCATTTTAAAAGTTGTCAACCACTTTACCATTTTATAAATACAATCTACTGCTTTTGAAAATGAAGAGAATTTTTTTAATTGGTTTTAAAAGAATGGAAAAACTATTTTTAATGCATTCTATCCACATATTACATCAAACAGCTAGAAGGATTGACCAACAGAACTGGGACCAGAACCGTTCCACCAGTGCCAATATGCATGCCAAGCAAAACAACAGCTAACACGCATACATAACAAGCATGAAGCTGACTGCCCAATTGTTGTAAGTTAAATCATTAGGCAAAAGAAGTTTTGTTTTAGTGTTATAAGTAATACAGAGATCTAAGTGGTCAATAATGGCTTTGATTAAAAAGTCTGTGGAACTTCATTTGGTGTAGGTAAAATAACAAGGAGGCTAACAAAAAAAGAACAATTTAAACAGAAACATTTCATTTTGATTTTGGAGGAATATGTAAAAGCAAATTTTGTCTTTTTATTTTGGTACATCCATGTCAAGATGCTGAAAAGTGTGATTTCTCGTAAGCTAAATAAAAAAATCTCCAGCTAAAAATTACCATAGCAAGAATAACAATGCTTGGAAATCTGAGTTCAAGTGTGTGCAGGCAAGTTGCAAAGCTCCCAAGTTTGCATTGTATGTCTTTTGCAAAGTGAGTAGCAAAGGTCCAGAGTTTGCATTGTGTGTCTTTTGCAAAGTGAATAGCAAAGGTCCAGAGTTTGCATTGTGTGTCTTTTGCAAAGTGAGTAGCAAAGGTCCAGAGTTTGCATTGTGTGTCTTTTGCAAAGTGAATAGCAAAGGTCCAGAGTTTGCATTGTGTGTCTTTTGCAAAGTGAGTAGCAAAGGTCCAGAGTTTGCATTGTGTGTCTTTTGCAAAGTGAATAGCAAAGGTCCAGAGTTTGCATTGTGTGTCTTTTGCAAAGTGAATAGCAAAGGTCCAGAGTTTGCATTGTGTGTCTTTTGCAAAGTGAGTAGCAAAGGTCCAGAGTTTGCATTGCATGTTTCATTAAGAGTAGCATAGGTTCCAAGTTTGCACTGAGTTTCATGCAAAGATGATTTTAAAACAGCATATGGAGGAAGAAATGTTATCACCAGGGATATGCAGACACCACTGCATGGAAGCAATCATTCTCCTGTTGTAATATACACAGTTACTCTGCAGACCTTGTTTCTGACTGTATCAAAAGCAAATAAAATGGAACTTTTAGAGATCTTGAAAATTGTGTGGCAGTATCTGGTCAAAATTTACCATTCCTAATTGCAATATTGGAAATTACACAGAAATTTTCAGACAACACACATTGCCACTTGGGTTATAGACTCCACTCCTTACAAAAAAGATGAAAATATGTGTAACAAATGCTTTAATGGGTTCACATAAAAATTTATTTTCCTCATAGAGAAGTTATCACACTCAATAATTCACACTTACAGTTTTAGAACTTTACCCCGAATTGGCATCCCATGCTTGGAGTGTGAAAAGAGATTAATTTTTTACCAAGATGAAAACCAGACAGTGAAGTCTCACAGTTAAATTTTACTGCAATAAAAAAATCATATCACTGTCAAAGATATGGCAAAGTTTTTGAAAACCTACCTGCTTAAGCAATTAGCAACAGTAAGACTGGCACAGCATCCTCTACTATCTTATAAATCATGATTAGGGTAGGTCTCTATCTTCAAACCACAATTTAAAAATGTGTTTATATACACATCAGATTTCATTCCCATGGTGTTGCATTAGCACTGTTACCTTATGTACTGATTTAGAGAAGAAATCCAAGAAAAGGTGCAAAATATATTGTAACAAGAGGCCTAACTGAGCCTGATATACCTCATCTAACTCATGAAATGAGTGAGAATATATTTAGGTATTTTTTTGCTTTAGTTTCTTTTGATTTGGTCCCAAAGAAACAACATTATATAACTCATCCAATCGAATAAGAATGGGATACCTTGTAGCAGCTAGACCAGCATGTGAACCACATAACCATTGCAGCTTCCCACTCTTAATTATACTGTTTAAAGATAATGATTATATACATACATATATATATATATATATATATATATATATATATATATATATATATATATATATATATATATATATATATTTGCATACACACAAATGCATGTATACATACATACATACATACATACATACATACATACATACATACATACATACATACATACATACATACATACATACATACATACATACATACATACATACAACATACAAACATACATACATACATACATACATACATACATACATACATACATACATACATACATACATACATACATACATACATACATGCATGCATGCATACATACATGCATGCATAAGTATACATACATACATACATACATACATACATACATACATACATACATACATACATACATACATACATACATACATACATACATACATACATACATACATACATACATACATACATACATACATACATACCTACCTACCTACCTACCTACCTACCTACCTACCTACCTACCTACCTACATACATACATGACATCAGAGCTGATAAATAAACTTGAACAAATATATAATCAGTATTTGAGATCTGGATTTATAACAATTTCAACCAATCAGATGAAAGGTCACTTATTGAATATGCATAATTATGCTCATCATCAAACATGCCCATGATATTGAGGTTAAAACCTGTTTCAATTTGTTTTAAAATATACAGCCTCAAGAGTAGTGTCAAACTCGGCAATTCAGTGGCAAGAATACCTGGATGTTGCTACTAATTCAAATTATACAAGGTCTTACTAGCCCAAATTTATGTGCAAACCAAAATTTTATCAGAAATATGAAATCTATCATGAAAACAAGCTCAGCCAATCTGACGACAAATCTCCTATATCTCACTTGTCTCAGATATACCTTGGCAGATGATATCAGCATAATGTACGAAGCCTGATAAAAAATATGTCTCAAGAATACAACCAAGCTCAGCCAGTCTGATGTAACTCGACTACATCATATGCATGGATGGTGCTCATCATTAAACTCATACAGGATAGTAATTACATAAGCCAATATATCAGATTTGATCTAATTCTGTTAAAATATAAAGCCTTCAAAAAGATAAAGGTTTACATAAATAACCTGATGACAAATCTTGTATTATAATTATTAGATCTCATAATGAAATTTGTCCCAGAGCATAATGGGATTTGTTTAGATAACAACAGTTGAATCAAAATCTGATCCAAAATATGACCTTGAAATTGGTAATAAGGTCAGCATGGACTCTGACACAAGATCAATAATGTGCAATGATGTCTTCCTCATCAAACTCACCTGAGATCTTGACTGGAGCCTTTATATCAAAGTCTATGTAGAATTGAAGCCTCTAATGTGTTACCAAGGTTACCAGTCACACATTACAATACATTACTGACATTTATTACATTTTGAACATTAAATACAAATTATATTTTCACTCTGACAAGGAAATTTTTACACTAATAAAAATTATAATTTTTATGTGAGTATATTGTCTAGAAAACTAACATCTGATCTGCTCCGTTAAGTTCAATGCCAGTTAAGAAGGCTAGCCAGATTATGGTGCTATATCTTTGCTTATAAAAGAATGCTTACAAAATGTTTTGATGTACAAGTGACCCCTAGAACCTGTTTATTTTTAATTAGTTAGCATCACTTCCTAAACCCTAATAATACAAATGAAAGAAGACAAAATTGAGAACTAAATCAAATTCAGGATGTGCTGCATACCAAGTCCCTTTAATTTAATTATCAATTTTGGTATTTACGATAAAAATGCCTTTCCAAATGGTCTAGAGTGCCAATGTTGGCACGCATGCTATACGATGCTGTCACCTGGTCTGCAAACCTTTTCCCATCTGAAGGCAACTGACAATCAAAGGAGTTTTTCTTTTTGTACATTTGTGATACACTTATCCCCAAGTTATAGATTAAAATCCTACTTGATTATTCTTCACATTTTTTGTATGTTTTAATAAACATAAACTTAATTTTTATTTTCATTGATTATTATTTTATTCTATGACCATTATATATTTTTAAAAATCTCTTTTAGTTCTCTTCTAGACTACATATATGTATGTGTGATTATGGATTTTAATGTAGCTTTAAATAATTTTTAGTCATATCACTACAATGTCTGCAGTGTGGCTGTTGTTAGTACCATTTTTGTAAGTCTTTGGTATGACTCGAACTGGGATTAAACCAATGACCTCCCACATCTGAGACAGATGCTCTAACCACTAGGCCACTGGAGCAGATTCTAGGATAGCATAATCAGAAAAAAAATCAGTGTTGGTCAGCAATGTAGAGAATGTACACGTTCAAATTTAAGGAATTTAACAGAACAAACTATCCCCTTAGCACTCCTACAAGATATTAACATTTTTCAGCACTACACTGGCATAATTTTCTTGCTTGTTCAAAATGTACATTCATCCCTCTAGAATGGACCATGTAAACTGATAAACCTTGGATACTCCAAGTTTAGTAACAAATGATTTATTTTAGTCTCATAGTACAAAATCCTTGCCAAATTCTTTCCTAGTGTAACTGTTTGATAACAAGACGTTTAACAAGTTTTGATGGTAATGCTGATGTAATAGTACAAGTTGTAGATCTATTTTTGAATTTTGCAAACAAGAATCACAGGTAAATGGAATCAGAATTAGCTAACAGGCATATTCGTGAAAGTAAATTAACAATTGTAATCAATTTAGTAATAAATTGGGATATTAGGAGTGCACAGATAAAAAGCAAAATCAAAACTGCATGTCAGCATTATCATATTGATGCCTTGTTCAATCTTATCTGAAATGCTTACTGTTGTTCTTAATTTTATACTAATGTATTTTTAACCATATCTGTTCTTCCTGGATACCTCCTGAGATGAAGGTAAATTGGATTAAAAAACCCAACACAAATTGCTTTTAGGAGTGTACTATGGTATTTTTTTGCCTGTGTTAAAGAGAAACAAACCTGGTGTTAACCATGCTCATAGGTGAAATTTAAACTGAGGCTGGTTATATTAAATTACATTGCAAGAAATTGAATGCAGGGATTACTCTATGTGCCAGTTAGGAATTAAACATCATATTCATCAAAGCACTATCTAATACTAAATGTATAGTGTACCTGATACAGTGTGATATTTTCTCATATGTGGAGATAACTATTAGTCTAAGCAGACTGCTAAGGACCAAGTGATTTTCATCAAAATGTTGACAAAATGAATTAATTTAAGGTTTAGCTTAATTACTTGGTATTGAATTTGCACATTCTGTTGAATTATTTTAGTTTGTTTATAAATTAGGTTGAAATCATGGTTTATCTATATGTAAGTATGCAAGTATGTATGTATGTAAGTATGCAAGTATGTATGTATGTATGTATGTATGTATGTATGTATGTATGTATGTATGTATGTATGTATGTATGTATGTATGTATGTATGTATGTATGTATGTATGTATGTATGTATGTATGTATGTATGTATGTATCATGGTTTATCTATATGTAAGTATGCAAGTATGTATGTATGTAAGTATGCAAGTATGTATGTATGTATGTATGTATGTATGTATGTATGTATGTATGTATGTATGTATGTATGTATGTATGTATGTATGTATGTATGCATGTATGTATGTATGCATGTATATATGTATGTATGTATGTATGTATGTATGTATGTATGTATGTATGTATGTATGTATGTATGTATGTATGTATGTATGTATGTATGTATGTATGTATGTATGTATGTATGTATGCATGTATGTATCATGGTTTATCTATATGTAAGTATGCAAGTATGTATGTATGTAAGTATGCAAGTATGTATGTATGTATGTATGTATGTATGTATGTATGTATGTATGTATGTATGTATGTATGTATGTATGTATTTATGTATGTATGTATGTATGTATGTATGTATGTATGTATGTATGTATGTATGTATGTATGTATGTATGTATGTATGTATGTATGCATGCATGTATATATGTATGTATGTATATTTGTGTGTATGTATATATGTGTGTATGTATGTATGTATGTATGTATGTATGTATGTATGTATGTATGTATGTATGTATGTATGTATGTATGTATGTATGTATGTATGTATGTATGTATGTATGTATGTATGTATGTATGTATGCATGCATGCATGCATGCATGTATGTATAGTTTTATGGCATATTACCAAGGAGCCTCAAGTTGCCAAGTGGTTTAAAGTGCTTACTGTTATGGATTACTGCCATCTCACCTTTGTTTGCAAGAGTTCAAGTCTCAGACTCAACCAATGTGGGTATGCAAGAAAGCCTGCCAGTAGCTTATCATAGGTCGGTGGTTCTTTCAGGGGTTTTCCTAAGGTGTTCTTTCTCCACCATTTATGCTAGCTGCCATGTGCTGAAAAATGGTGTTAAACCCTGCAACAAAAGCAACAAGCATTTTCCCCCAATAATGACTATATTTAAATGTATAAATACTGAAAGTAACATACAAGTAATGATATTTAGGTTCTACAAAAAGTATAGAAAATAAAATATGAATGAGAAAACACATAATCCTTAAAACATCATGTTCATATTGAAAATGAATTAAATGCTGTCTCTTTTACATGACCATTTCATGCTGAATAAGTTGTTTGTACCAACTGGACACAAACTATTCTGGACCATATTTACTAAATCAATAATTGACCATGATCTTTACTTTTTTAATTTTTTATGCAATTGATCTCTCCTTGCCTAAAAACAAACCATTTATAAATTATCTAAAGATAAAAAAGGACAGTGAAGAATACAAGTTGTTTTTATCTAGGTCATTTTCACCTGAAGCTTTAAGCGGTGTAGCCCAGCATCTTTATTTCCATCCTGACATGGAATGTGTGGTATCATTATGTGCTTTCACTATATTTTACTTTCATTTTATGCATCTTCGACTTTAAAACTCAAAATCAATAGGTTTCTATCTTGCTCTATATCTGAAACCATTTTCCTTTTTCTGATTTCTTTTCTTGACCTGCAGAACCTTGTCCTTTTGATCCCCAAACCCACAGGTGTCTTTTATACCCCATGTGCAGGACATCCACAAAATTTGCTGAAGGAACATGGTCTACAAGTCAAGTAATTGAAACAATTTGTAACAGTATCAAGTAACAGTAACATTCAATCTCAGCATTTTCACCTCATAATCAGTGGAATTGCATACATGTCAAGTTATCTGGAAACAAATCAGGGAGATTTGTGTTCAAAATCAGGGGGATTGGGTCCAAATCAAGGATATTAGCATAATGACAAGTATTCTCGTAAGTTCACAAACTCTGGAGAGGATGGAATTTTTCTTTCCAACCATTACATTTGCATTGTCACTACTAAACCCTACTAGGTTCTCTCTGTTTGTCAAGACGTTTTGAAGACAGTTGAAAAGGTTTTCACCAGTCCCAATATTGCAAATGGGCATAGCCAGGAATTTGGTTGTCACTCTGTGAATGTCACTGTCAAAGAACCTTACAAGAATTGCTACACACTTTTCATCACCACTGTCATTAGACTTATCATCATATCATCATTGAGAAAGGGTTTTCTTTGCATAGTAAAGTTACCTGCCTGTCATGCATTGGACCCAGTGCATTGTTAACAATGTTTGTTACCTTATTTCTTTTGCAGTGAAATTTCTGAGCAATTTGCTAGTCAGGAAACTTAATATTATACAGCTCACTAAAATGATCAGCAACCAAGAATGGTAAATTATGCTCTGCCATAAAGTTAGCAAACAGAACCTCTGCTTTAGTGACACTGTCTACTGAGGTTGGTGCACACATTTGCATTACTTTAGGCACATTATGTGACAATTTCTCATTTGCAATGTGCTGCATACTTTTCAATTGCCTTGTGAGATCATTTTTTTCCCCACTAGAAATGTTTGAATGTGTGTTGCAAGCTGTATAGTCTGAGTTTCCGCTGACCATTGTCATCCCATTTTTAACATTTAGACATTTATGTTAAGGTGTAGGGTCAGAGTCCTTTCCCTATCAAAACATTGGAATTTGCAGACATCATTTTGTGTCAGCATAGGGTAGCCACTTACTAGAAAGTCTAGTAAACTTTAATGGCCTTTCATCAAGATATACCTGCATGAAATTGATAGGAATATAATTTATTTTCTCAGATATAAGGAGTATAGCATTTGTTATATCTTTAATCCGCTAACAGACAAGCTGTAACTACATCATCGTTGATGAAATTTGACCTGAAACTGGCCATTTGTATTCCAAGTCACCTTACTATACAAATCTCGAAAACCTACATGTCAATGACATCAGAGGTCAAATGGTCACATGAATAGAATAGAATAATTCTCAATGTGGACAAATTAAATCCTAGGTTTATTTCTCCAATTGTTGTTTTAGCTGGAAATACCTATGCTTGGCAGATTATTTTTCTAATTTCTAGGAGATTTTGTCAGCAAATTGTTAGATCAAAAAATGGGGTAAAAAATCAAAAGACTCCCGGACAAATCAGGAGACTTGGCATGTATGAAATTGTTTCTTTCCTCAAGCACAAGTCATCCACTAAGTCTGGTCATGGTTCATGCTTTGATGCAAAGGGTGTTGTTTCGAAACCACTTTCTTTGTTTTGTAGTAGGATTGGCCTTTGGTAATTTGACTCAAAACGCCTTAATTTTTTATTATCCCATACACAAGTCATTCACAAAGTTTGTCTAAAAGTGAAGTTACTGTGCAAATTCATATCTTTTCTTTGAATCACAGTGAACTTAACCTTTGCACTTGTGACCTAGATGAATAGGTCAATTTTCAAAACCAAAAATGCCTTCAATCTATCAACAAAGTTTGCTTAAGGTAGGTGGTTTTGAAGTAAAGTAATTGTGTGAAAATCATTTTCTGTCTTTGTGGCAGCAACCTTGAAATTTGACATTTTTGACTCCAGAACCAGTAGGGTTCTCTCTACCCTTGTTTGTTTTACTGATTATTCACAAGAAGCTGCACTGACTCAGATTTGCTGGCTCATTATGCTATGGCAGATCTGTGTCTGTGCTGTTTGCAGTTGGAATTGGGCTTTAAGTGAGTATATATGGTAAACATGCCAAACTGCAAATGATTTGTATCCATAATAAAAATTTAAATACATGAAGCAGGTGCTTTCGGCCATATGTTGTACACTGCTGCTTTACTGTATTCATGATAGTCTCATTATGCTATGGCAGATCTGGGTCTGTGCTGTTTGC